CCCCCAAAACCCCAAAACCCCAAAACCCCTTAGTGGTGAACTAAGATTGAGTTTCGTTATATTTAACACTTTTGTTGATTCTAAAGATAGCTCTGATTAGAGTATTCTTTCCATTACAAATGTGGCAATTTCTTGTCAGGCTTGATGTTCATTAAACTCTCTCGCTTCTTTACACTAGAGAATTACTCATTAAACTTACTTAGCTAAATTGTCTATGTCCTCGTAGTCTACTTTTAGGGGAATCAGTCTGTTTGGGGAAACTTTACGTTTATCTTTCGTCACAGGCTATATTAATTAGAAAGTTTTATGCTTGATTTACCTGAGAATTTATTGGATTAGTCAAATCTAAGTTCAGATGTTTCTTCATAACATTCCCTTTCTGGCTAATCCTGCTTCTCTCCGAATCCATAAGGTGAGAACTTGTGCTAAGGATAAATTTCAAAAGACCTACCTAGAGCTTCTTCTGTGGAATATCATTGCTGATTTTGTCTGGTTTGTATCTTGAACACTAAGTTTAAACTTGAATATATACCTTTCATTTAGCTTCTGCTCATTTTGGTAAAACATTCTTGGATCTTTCAACTCTTTGCTAATTTTTTTGGTATAAATAACTTACTGGTTCAAGTTCAGAGGCTTGAAAGAACTCAGATTTGGCATCTTTACAGCTTCTTGAGATAATTTAACCATTGTTTTAGATGCTTCTGGAATTGAGCCAATGTAATTATTTTCTAAAATGATCACTTTGACTTACTCATCATAGTACTTAGCTTCTTAGCATTGGTAACAATCTTCTTTCCGAGGTCAACTTTATTCACTCTTTCAAGAGAAGTTTTGGTACTTGCAGGTTTTGGCTTGAAGGTGCCCTTAACAGATTTGGAAAGAGCCCTTCTATCCACTTTTGAAGATTCTTCCTTTCTCTCGTTTGATCCCCAATAGGATTTCTTAGAAGTAAATTTCTGAATATTTTCTTTCACTGAGTTAGTCATCTCTTTCCTTGTGTTTGGATTAGCCCTGGCATCTCTCATTCTTTTTAATAGTTGGTCTTTAACGCCAGTTATTTCTGCCTAAATCTTAGAAACTAAAAGCACCTGTAAAGCCTGAGTATCCCTTATTGTTCCTTTGAAATAATTTAAGGATTCACCTAAAAATGAGGAATATGAAGTTTACCGTATTTGTCAAGTCTTTTCGTAGCATTTGAAATTTGTGTGTCTGAAGTATCTACCTTAGATTCTAACTCCATTCACCATTTTCGAACTAGTGGTTAAGGAAAGTCATACTGTTCTTTAAATCAATGTTGATTAGTTCTGTCTTATGGTTGTCAGCTTCCTCTTCTAAAGCTGTAAGGAACACAAAACGTACCTTTAGCCTTCTGAGTCATTTGATCTAACTGTTTTCTCAGATCTGTATTCTGTTCATTGAGATCTTCAATTGCCTTCTGGAGGGGCTCAAACTTTGCATTGAACTGCTCCTCAAGCATCTCATCTGTATCTTCAAGACTACTGGTAGCTTCTGAGAAAGAGTCATTGTGGATCGATTTTGATTCTTCCTTTAAGACTTTGTCTGGTTCTTTAAAGGTATTAGCCTTTTTCTCTGCACTATCAAATTTGTTTTCCATCTCAGGCTGTTCTGGAATTCTAAATTTAAATAATAAATCCTCACTTTTGTGTCTCTTCCTTAGATAATTTTGATATTAGGGTTGTTTTATTTCCGAAGCAGTGAGCCTCTTCTTTGGGCTTGTGAGAAATCAGCTATTTTAACTTGCAATTTTTGAAAAGTTTCTTTAATTTCCTCCATTTCAGCCTTAGTATCAGGGTACTATACAGAATAAAGCAAGAGACCTACATCATAGTCAAGTAGATCAGTCAATTTGTTCTGCATCTGGTTTAGCTTAATCTCACTTTTGCTAGTAAATTGATCTGCTTTCTTGGTGATCTCCTTGATTTCCTTACCTACTTTGGATTCTTGCATTGATATATGATTTTTCATTCCTTCTATTTTATTTTGGAACAGAAGTTCTTGCTCTTTGTTCTCCTTTTTACCAATTTTTGATCTAAACGTTATCCAAATCTGTACTGTATTTCTTCTTCTTGTTTTCGAGCAACACCTCGAATAGTCTTAATATCTTCATGGATGGAAGGAAGGTCAGTCTCGATAATTTTGAAGATGTCATCATCCACCTCCAAGAATCTTTGGTAGTGGTTATTAAATCTCTCCTCAATGGTTTGATAGTATTTCTCTGCAGTGGGATATTTCTCTCCCTCTCCTATGAATCCAGGGATTTTCTTTTCTTCCTGAAGAATCTTCCTGACCTCTTTATTTTATATTATCTAACTCGAAGTCGACAAAATCTTGAAGTTTGTAGCGAGATTCATCAATTTTGGCCAGGGTCCAAGCCCTTTCCATGTCACTTTCCTCACATTTTTCAAGTTTGAGATTCATACGATGGATAGTTGCTTTTACATTGTTAACTATTTGTTAGGAACTTTTAGTTTACTCAATACAGCTGCTTTGTCGATCTTCTGAATCAATCCACTATTCTTATTCTCATGACCCTAGAGTATGTTGAATCTATCCTACTTTTCGGATTTCATTGAAAGCTTGAGTGAAGTTCCTCTCAATTCTAGCTACTTTGTCATGAGCAATGTTCTCAATTTTGTCGATTTCCTGACTTAATCTGTGAACATGAAATTTTTGTTTCTCTACAAGTTCATTATGCTTCTCCTCTTGCTCTTCAATGAGGCTATCTTGCTTTCTTATATGTCGTATAAGAGCTAAACTATAATCCAAAGAGTACCTTTTATCCCATCTACAATCGGATATGGGATATTATTCCATATTTCTGGATGAATTTGTGACAGAGCATCTTGGTTCTAATAAGTCACTAAATTACAAATTACTCCTTCTAGTTCTTTCTTTGCATACTCTTGGCTCTCATTATCAATTTCAAGGTCTGATGATTCTGAGTTAGTCATTCCAATATTCTTAGACTTCGCTAAAGATTAGCAACAAAAAGAGTACAGTTTTTCTTCTTCTCTTCTTTGTTCATTTTTAAATTTGAACTATTTCTTCTTCTTATTCTCAGTGTTCAGAAATTCTGAAAATAGTTCTAGAGCATATCATTAGCATGGATTTAAGTGACTTCATTGAATTAAGGGCTGCAGACAAACAGAACTCAAAAGAAAATATTATCATTATCTTTTGACGGAAAGTATACGAAGTTTTAGATATAACTTTCGGATATTTACCTTGACCGAGACTGTTCTTGGCAGATATTCCCCTCTTAAGAGGTAAGCTTTTGTTTGGTTCCAAGAATTCTTCTGTGTTTCTAGGGTCTCTCTGAGAACGTTTAAAGTTGATATTCCTATCTGACATTTTATTTCAATTTATGAAAAATTATCTGGGGTTTTGGGGTTTTGGGGTTTTGGGG